ATCGGACAGCGTTTCGGGGAATTCCTTTTCGAGCGCGTCGATAAAGTTAGAAATGTGGGAAACCACGTTGTTTGGGAAATTTGTCGGGATAATTCGGAGTTTCAGTAGAACGCGACGTCCGACAATGACTTCATTTTGCAGATCGCTGCAAATAATGGCGACGGTTTCGACGGGGGGTCTATCGTTCATACGGAGGATAACGCAGACCTTTTCATCGCAACGAAGGGGAGATCGATTCGCGGCGACGAGCTTGATGTTGTAATTTGGGGAGGTGGTGAAACCGTGCGCGGATACCAGATCTTGGGAGATTAATGTCGATTCGGAACCGGTGTCTGCCAAGCATCGAAAATAGAAAGAATTGTTGGATACACCATCTTGAACGAGTAGGTTCATGCGGGGGCTTTTATTGGGATTGACGATGGCTTCAATCTTTTCCCCGGACCGTCAATCGGAGACGGAGCTGGCGGAAGGGGAGGGATCTCTGGGCATGTTGGCGAATCTTGAGCGATCTTCGGGACGTTCGGTTTGGATCGCGTTTATCTTCGTTCGGCTGAGGCAGGCTGGTGCGATGTGGCCCTTGATACCACAATGGTTGCAAATAACGTTGTGCTCGTAAGAGCACTCGTAGGCGACGTGGTTTGCTTTGCCACACCTTGTGCAGAGGCCGCGCTCCTTCATTTCTTTTATGGTGGTGGGGCGTTTTTGGGACTGAGACGAACCTTTTCCTTCGAAGCGATCTTGATTATGCCTTGCTTTTGATTTGAATTGACCGCGACGTTGCTGCAGGGAAACTTTTAATACGGGCTCGGCAGAATGGTTGGAAAGTTTGGAGCGGGATATCAGGCGACTTTCGTACATTTTACCCGTATTTTCGACGTCTTTCAGGGTCTTTTCCGGCAATTCCAGGAGATCGTCGAGGAGGACTGAGTCGGTAGTGCCACGGAGTATGCAGAAAACGAAGATTTCTTCGACAGTTAACTTGTCAAGATCGGCGAGACGAGAGAGTTCCTTGGCCTTGGCGACAAAATCAGTGAAGGCTTGTCCATTTCGCTGTTGGTACTGAAAGAAGTCGAGCCTGCGGGAGAATAGCGGGTAACGGCCCAGGAAGTCATTCTCGAGGAGTTGAAGGCAGCCGTCTTCGCCGAAAACGTCGGTAGTTTCTGTCATTTTCGCCATGATTCTAGTTTTGAGATCGGAATCCAACAATATTTTAAAGTATGAAAGTCTTTCTTCTTTGCTGAAATCGTTCATATCGTTGGACGAGTAATAAGATTTGAATGCGTCGATCCAGTGTCGCAACTCGGTGGGGCTGGAATCTTTGGAGAGCACGGCCGGTTTTAGAGAGTCGTTGATTCGGCGGGATCTGGGCGCATTGTTTCTTCTTATGTCGTCAGGAGGAGGTGCAGCGATTGACTTTGCAGCTTTGGTTAACATGTGGATGGCATCGTCTGCGCGTCCTTCGTCATTGGTCAGATCTTCGC